TATGACTTTCTGAGGAAATTCCTCTTGATTCGTGTAGCGCAATATATGAAGAATTGATCTCATTTGCAACATAGCCCATTATAAAACTATGGTAAGCTGTTAAAGGCGGATAGTCTAATCCCCAATACTGTAAGTCATTGTCCGTAGTATTTATATACCACTTTTCTATAGGCAAATTAAAAGTTATCTCTTGCCAATGTCGTTGGGCCTCATAGTCTCCAAACATTGGGGGTTTCCCTTGACCACTATATGAATGGTATGTAACGCACCATCTCAATAAGAGTGCAAACAGGAGAATTAATACAATCTGCTTACTTCTTGTCATATTTATAATTTTAGATCCAAATACGCCTTCGGATGCAATTAACAAATGTGTTTCAAAAGCAACTTTTAGCAACCTACGTTTATGGTGGAGAATACCAGGTTAGAATCGATATAACAAAAAGAAATTTGTAAAACATATATATGGACGGAATAAAAGTCGGATACGTACCACATAAGAAGCGTTCAATCCTTCGGTTAATTTATTCTTAATGTGGCTCTCAGAATATGGCATATTTAACCAATAACTTTTTTGAGTCTGTACTTCAATCTTACCGCTTGGTTGTACACGTGGAACATCGAATACATTTATGTACATATGTATATACATATATGTAGTACACTTTGCGTAGTTTTGTTTGATGTATTTCTTACATAAAGTGGATGGATAAATAAATTTGAAGCTCCAAGATGACAATCACTTGAAGTAACTTTATTATTTCAATTATCTTCGTATTTTAATCTAATGTCAAAGTTCGTTAAACAATTTGATAGAACTCGGTCAATCGACTTTTCAAATATATCGATTATTTGGACCATAACAGAATTTTTGAATATTATCTTGTTATTAGAATTAATTCACGGTTCGATGTTAATTACCTGGAAATTATTGATGTTAATGGAACATGTCCCAGCACACACTTTTTTCAGAAGCACACACACAATTGCTTTCTATGACGTATGTACGAGTTTTTAAAAATGTCTAATAAACTATTTTAAAAAAATCACTAACTTCTTTTTTTAGCGTTACTTTTATTTTCCTTGAATAAGTACATATATAATTATTTCGGCTTGAGTATTTAAATGTATATATACATACGCATATTAATTCATAATGTAAACGGTTCACTGCAAAATCAAATAATGGAAAATGATAACCATAAAACTTTCGTTTTATGTAACGATATAATTATCGCGCGTTGGATGTATACTTATGATATTAAACCGGGTTTTGTTTATTCCTTGCATTGGAAAGAAACGCTAAATCATTATACAAAGTAATTAATACACGTTTTACATTAGTGCAGGCAAGTTATCAAATAGTACCAAGTAGTATATTTCGCTTTTCAAAAATTAAGCTTACTCGTTGTTATCACATAGGCCATATGTGTTGTCTTTTACACATGTGCAAAAAATTCTGAAAAATATATGATACTATAACTAATAACTAATTTATATTAATTGCCAATGTAAAAATATAATTTAGTCTTAAAATATATACATCATTTAGTAATTATTCTAAATATTTTTTGTAAATAATTATTAATAACATTATATTTCTAAAAATATATACGAAAAGAAAATAATTACGCATTTAAGAAGCTGTATTACTGTCTCTTATACACATCTAGATGTGTATAAGAGACAGCATAATTAATAGTGTGATAGCAAATACTTGTATAATATTGTTATAGATGCGCATAGAAGCATTTCAGCTGCTCTAAAAAGATCTGTACAGTACATGTACAATATATGATCGCGAGATGTGTATAAGAGACAGCATAATTAATAGTGTGATAGCAAATACTTGTATAATATTGTTATAGATGCGCATAGAAGCATTTCAGCTGCTCTAAAAAGATCTGTACAGTACATGTACAATATATGATCGCGAGATGTGTATAAGAGACAGCATAATTAATAGTGTGATAGCAAATACTTGTATAATATTGTTATAGATGCGCATAGAAGCATTTCAGCTGCTCTAAAAAGATCTGTACAGTACATGTACAATATATGATCGCGAGATGTGTATAAGAGACAGCATAATTAATAGTGTGATAGCAAATACTTGTATAATATTGTTATAGATGCGCATAGAAGCATTTCAGCTGCTCTAAAAAGATCTGTACAGTACATGTACAATATATGATCGCGAGATGTGTATAAGAGACAGCATAATTAATAGTGTGATAGCAAATACTTGTATAATATTGTTATAGATGCGCATAGAAGCATTTCAGCTGCTCTAAAAAGATCTGTACAGTACATGTACAATATATGATCGCGAGATGTGTATAAGAGACAGCATAATTAATAGTGTGATAGCAAATACTTGTATAATATTGTTATAGATGCGCATAGAAGCATTTCAGCTGCTCTAAAAAGATCTGTACAGTACATGTACAATATATGATCGCGAGATGTGTATAAGAGACAGCATAATTAATAGTGTGATAGCAAATACTTGTATAATATTGTTATAGATGCGCATAGAAGCATTTCAGCTGCTCTAAAAAGATCTGTACAGTACATGTACAATATATGATCGCGAGATGTGTATAAGAGACAGCATAATTAATAGTGTGATAGCAAATACTTGTATAATATTGTTATAGATGCGCATAGAAGCATTTCAGCTGCTCTAAAAAGATCTGTACAGTACATGTACAATATATGATCGCGAGATGTGTATAAGAGACAGCATAATTAATAGTGTGATAGCAAATACTTGTATAATATTGTTATAGATGCGCATAGAAGCATTTCAGCTGCTCTAAAAAGATCTGTACAGTACATGTACAATATATGATCGCGAGATGTGTATAAGAGACAGCATAATTAATAGTGTGATAGCAAATACTTGTATAATATTGTTATAGATGCGCATAGAAGCATTTCAGCTGCTCTAAAAAGATCTGTACAGTACATGTACAATATATGATCGCGAGATGTGTATAAGAGACAGCATAATTAATAGTGTGATAGCAAATACTTGTATAATATTGTTATAGATGCGCATAGAAGCATTTCAGCTGCTCTAAAAAGATCTGTACAGTACATGTACAATATATGATCGCGAGATGTGTATAAGAGACAGCATAATTAATAGTGTGATAGCAAATACTTGTATAATATTGTTATAGATGCGCATAGAAGCATTTCAGCTGCTCTAAAAAGATCTGTACAGTACATGTACAATATATGATCGCGAGATGTGTATAAGAGACAGCATAATTAATAGTGTGATAGCAAATACTTGTATAATATTGTTATAGATGCGCATAGAAGCATTTCAGCTGCTCTAAAAAGATCTGTACAGTACATGTACAATATATGATCGCGAGATGTGTATAAGAGACAGCATAATTAATAGTGTGATAGCAAATACTTGTATAATATTGTTATAGATGCGCATAGAAGCATTTCAGCTGCTCTAAAAAGATCTGTACAGTACATGTACAATATATGATCGCGAGATGTGTATAAGAGACAGCATAATTAATAGTGTGATAGCAAATACTTGTATAATATTGTTATAGATGCGCATAGAAGCATTTCAGCTGCTCTAAAAAGATCTGTACAGTACATGTACAATATATGATCGCGAGATGTGTATAAGAGACAGCATAATTAATAGTGTGATAGCAAATACTTGTATAATATTGTTATAGATGCGCATAGAAGCATTTCAGCTGCTCTAAAAAGATCTGTACAGTACATGTACAATATATGATCGCGAGATGTGTATAAGAGACAGCATAATTAATAGTGTGATAGCAAATACTTGTATAATATTGTTATAGATGCGCATAGAAGCATTTCAGCTGCTCTAAAAAGATCTGTACAGTACATGTACAATATATGATCGCGAGATGTGTATAAGAGACAGCATAATTAATAGTGTGATAGCAAATACTTGTATAATATTGTTATAGATGCGCATAGAAGCATTTCAGCTGCTCTAAAAAGATCTGTACAGTACATGTACAATATATGATCGCGAGATGTGTATAAGAGACAGCATAATTAATAGTGTGATAGCAAATACTTGTATAATATTGTTATAGATGCGCATAGAAGCATTTCAGCTGCTCTAAAAAGATCTGTACAGTACATGTACAATATATGATCGCGAGATGTGTATAAGAGACAGCATAATTAATAGTGTGATAGCAAATACTTGTATAATATTGTTATAGATGCGCATAGAAGCATTTCAGCTGCTCTAAAAAGATCTGTACAGTACATGTACAATATATGATCGCGAGATGTGTATAAGAGACAGATATATGATCGCGGGAATTAATAAAATAATTATCAAACAAAATATATGCACTCTTCTTTTTCAAAGGGAACTTTTATATATATATATATATAAATTCTTGAAATCTGATGAACATTTCGGTGAAATAGCTTTTCTTCTCTTTGTAGATCGATGTCTAACTCTACAATACATGTCTTTACACTGACTAGCAATAAATTATGTTTTATCAAGCATATACTAGTAGCAACAAATCAAAGAGAACTGATAGTGATAGGATAAGATACTCTCTTTAGACTTCTCATTCTTATTTTAGAAACTCTTTCATTTGTTTCGTTTGGTGTTGCATACTGTATTGAGCATTCTCCGCTTTTGTGATAAGACTATCCAATTTATCTAGATGAGATCCCATTTTTTCGTTAAGATCTATCTTTTTCAATGGTGTTGGTTCAGATTCTATGTTTCCTACAGTTTGCTTATCATCTGATAAGTCTACTGTTAATTGTTCATCGTTTGTTTCCGTTTTATTGTTAATCTCTGTCTCGTTGTGACTTGGTCCAGTAATCTTGTGCTCTGGAAAATTGTCTTTGAAAATCACCTTCACTTTGATGAAGCTACCCAAGCTGCCACAAACAGTCTGCAAAAAATCATAACATTGTTACAATTTTCAGATAGTGAGAATCATTTTTATTTACAAAAAATATATAATTAATTCTGTAACCTTGAATCTGTTAATCTTTTTCTGTGTTGCATTCAGAATACTGTTCAATTCGTCTAATCCACCACTGATTCGTTGTGCGGCTTCGACGGAAGTGTCTAAGTTCTATAAATTACAGGAGAATCTATTTAATTCACTCGAATATAATTCTTTGTTTAGAGAATGAAATTTTAATTAAAAATTTCAGAGTACCAATTAATTTAACGATGTACGTAGGTGTTATTACCTATAATATAAAATAATTGAACTAAACCGCGAATGTAATTTAAAAAAAAAATTATTCAGGCACGTAATGTAACATAAATTATGCCGTACTGTAAAAAGAAAATATAAAAAAATGTAAGCAGCTCGAAAAAGCATTGGAATATTATCTAAAATTTGTAACGATGAAAACGACCATAGAGTTTATTAAGAAAGTCTCTTTATTGCTAAGGGATGATTGAACCCAACCCCGAAAAAATGTCAAATTTTCTCATTCTGAATCTTACAAAAGTATAAATACATTTGTCTCTATATTACTATATATATTTGACACACGGTGAGTTCGATTATTAATCCTACTTTAACGAACTGTTAACGGGATTACCTGGATCATCTTATCATCGTCCCCGTCATTGGCATGATTTTCATCCTCTGTCTTCTGCGACTCTTTCCACTCTTCCTCGTTGGGTATCGGCAACCCCAACAATTCTGCTCGTTCGCACGCGTGGAGATAAGCCTGAGACATTTTATCGGAGACGAAACAATTCCACAACAGTAACAGATGTGCAACAATACAGCACACGGATCTTTCGTTCTCTAAAGACACTGAAATTCACTGGACGTCGGAGGGTGAGAAAGACGTGAACCACTTGGAGGATCCATGTTACCAGAAATCGTGCGCAAACTCCGTTAGGAAATAAAATACATAATCCCAGAGGGTTTGCGGAAACCAATACGATTCTTACAAGGAACACCCGCGAACTATACTACACTTTGTTGGAACTTCACAGGTTTACGGAGACCTAAAATAAGTAATTACGTGTGTTTCATCTTATCAAGGAAATATCTCCGACCCGAACGTTCAGAAAATTATGAATTTTTATCTATACGTATTCCATTCACCTCGAAAGTTTCATTGTTTTCTGAATTTTAGGATTGGAGGTATTTCGGAAAGAAGGGGGGAACAACCCTTTAGCGTCTCACTAGTCTTAAAAAGAATTTATTTTTCAGCCCTGAACACGATATTATAAAGGTGAAACGTCTAAAGGTATTCCACTCCTTACAAGTTACTCGAAAAAGTTCTGGCTGGTCTAGACATTAGCAAGATCGCATTGAAAGCACGAAAAATAAAAGAACAAGTTGGAGTTGAATGCTCTTGAAAATCTGATCGATTAACAACTGGATATAGATGTGTTAATTGAAACGACCACTGTATTAAAAATCGTTTGTATTTATATAGGGCGCTAGGAAAGTTTTATCATACAACTATACTTAATTTAATTTCTTCATTCTATTGACTGCAATCCAGAAACAGTTTTTGTTAACTAAATTATCGCAACAAGCAGCACGAAAACACACAGACACACACACACGCACGTGTACTCGTACACAGAAAAAAAACACTCGTCGTATAAACTCTTGTAAATAAATGAATAACCAGTATGCAAATACTTTGTACAACTATGGTTCGAGACAACAGTCGTGTACGACACGCTTTCCGTAAAACTCAAAACTTCAAATGTAACAACGTTCGTCTTAGAGCCATTGGCTGTTCGGGGGTTGAAAAACGTAACAAATTTTATAAAAAGCAGTGCTGTATTAAGTATGAGATGTTTAATATATATTTTAATAGTATTAGGCTATTACCATAATAAATATATAATGCAAACGTATTTATGTACAGTACGTAATAACACGTAAATCAGTCGTCTCTTTTAAAACGGGGGGTTAATTAAAAGAACATTGCACGTATATTAGGTCATACACTGAGATACTGATCGAAGATGCGCTCAAACTATCACAAATATCCACCTCTTAGAATTCACCCCTTCATATTTTGTACAAACTGCTGATCTTTCTTTACGTTTCTCTTTCCCAATCGATCGTCCTATTTGTGATAAACAGGATCAACGATGATTCTGAAAGTATGTACAAAAGAAAACCATAGGAAAATCCACTGCAATACACATTATATATAATATATGTATACGTATAAATCGAATAACTAGAAAATAATTCTACTGGCGTACCATAACGTTAAAAGTGATCAGACTTTTTTAAACGGTTCTATGTATACACGAACAACTTTCCTAACAGTAACATTTACATCCAGAAACATCGTACAAGCATGATTTCAATATAGCGTAACTCTGTAGTTTCGTATACTCTACAACTCTATTTTAATGTCATATCAGCGAAGCATTCAAGTTCGAGCGTTACACTACGCATAAAATGGAACCAGCGTGGTCTCTCGAGAAGTCTTGATTTAGCTTGGACAAGCGTCGTTAACAAGTCTATCTTAATCAAAAAAATTTTCTCACCATCTTCCTAAAACCAGTACTCTTTCTGTCCTTTTGTTTCGACATCGACACCACGCTACTGCTCCTAGACTCATCGCTTTGGTCCACTGACAGACCATTAGCAGTTGTATCACAGTCGCTGTACAAGTTCTCGAGCAAAGATATCGAAGGTGTAGGACTCGTGCCCACAGATTTCTCAGTCGAGTCGCTCGAATTACGTCTCCGATCCCCGTTCACTGTGCTCGAATTTGTCTTCCTTTTTTTCCTAGTGCTTAAAGCAGTCTTCATGAAAAAGGATGTGGCGCTCAGCTTCGTGCCTTTTAAGATCACGCCGCTATTGTTTAAGTTCAAAGCGTCCGTCGACATTTTACCGGTTTTCTCGCCGGAATTAACGTTTTCCGAGAAAGCATTTACTGGCAACGAATTCGATTCACTCAAATCATTTATGTAGGGGGTGGTGAACTCCAAACTTTTTACAGATTCTGTTTCAAAGTTGTATCTACTTGGCACGATCACCTGAACAGCGGACTTCACTTCATGATTGTTAAACCAATCGTCTGTGTTCTCTGAAACCTGTTTAGGCCTTTTGCAAGTTTGACCATCATTCTGCTGGGATGTTTCAAAGGCTGACCCTTCATATAGAAGAGAATTTGGTGGGCATTCTACGATTGAATTTGGCCTCGTCTCACTTTTTAGAATTGTTTTGTTACCGCTAGTCGCGGCTTCTTTTTTCCGTTTCCTTTTCCTTTCCTTTTTCGATTCGTGAGATCTCTCGTCTATCATCAATTCGCGATAGGTTCCTGTGATATGAGAGGCTATCTCGCTTGGTCTTCGCTTTTTTGTTTTCTTCACGTGAGTGCCAAAATTCTCTGCGCTCTTCCGTCGTAGAGTTTCCTTCTTCAAGTCTTGGTTTTCTTTGCTCTGTATTTTTTTACTCGACCGACAGTACAACAGGATCAGGAATATCACAAAGATTTGTGAACACAATATAACAACGTATTGACCTATCATTGCAAATGTCCCTCGCCAACTGTTTCGATCGTATAAAAGGTTCTTCATTGAATTTGATAGAGCGGCTATTTCTTCTCTCAATATGGTAATTTCCATGGCTCTCATCATCTCGCGTTCGTCTCTTTTCCTGCTTTCTTCGTTCATCACCGCCACCGTTCGCTCCAAAGACCTTTGCATCTCTTCGACCTGCTTCTTGTAGCGTCGACTTAACTCTTCCAGGTATTGCCCACTTAGAGACATATTCCTCTCTAATGCCTAAAAACGAAATTACAATAGTTCATTTTACAAGAATTGATAACATTAATCTTCATTATCGACAGAGTATCTTCTGCAGTCTTAGGACTTACCTTAATTCTATTAGACAAGCGAAGGAAAACAGATTCTTTTTGCGGCATAATATTCATCGTCGATTGCGTTGCAGATGCACTTGTAGCAGAGCCGCTTTGCATCTGCACCGCCTCCCCTTCTAAGTCCTTCAAGTCGGATAATAGAGTATCCAACGTCAAAGAATCTTGAGACGATAATTTCATTTCTTGTTCTAGAATCTCTGGTTGCTTTCCTTCTTGTTCGAGCCGTTCCACTTTCTCTATAGTATTTGGTGCGCCTCGTGTTTCTGTAGGTTCTGCATCAGCTACTGTATTGTCATGCGATGCTTCATTGTTATCATTGACTGCCACTGATATAGGGCCGGTGGCTTGAGGAGAGTTTTCAATCACAGTACCAGGGATGGCAAAGGATTCTTCAGGAACTTTTACGGTTGTACGCTGTCCAGTATTTGGGGATGATTCAGTTGACAACATCTCAGCCGGAGGTATCTCTTCCGTGTTGTCTTTGCCAGACTCCAAAGTAGGAACCGAGGACTCGTTTTTCACCTCTTTCTGAAGCGTTGGCTTCATTTGCGAGGCTATGTGATCTGGACTCGAAGGAGTCTCAATAAATTTCTCAGGTTCCTCATTTGGTAATTCCTGACTAGTTTTCTGTTGATCACGAGAAGATGCTGACTTAGTGCTTGCATTAGAAGTAGAGATAGTCGAAGAACCCTCGAGCGGTTTGGTTGACTCGTTGTAGTTCTCATTACCTTTACGAGACATATTTTCTTTGCTAACATCTTTGGAATAATTAAACTGTGTGGCTATGTTAGCTATGAAGCTTGTATTCACTACCATTTTACCCTCTTTTATTGCTAGCATGTTGCAAAGCGCTGCGATATACTCAAGTTTAAAGATAGACGTCAACAAATCTTTTTTCCGACTTTGCCCTAATACTGCATTTGTAATTTCCTCGGCTTCCAGACTCAAGCTTCTCCTGAAAGCTTCAACGTCCACTTGATAGCTTCTGCAGAACCCACTTTGTTTTAATGTTCTATTCACAAAACTGACCTTCAGTAACTGATTCAGTTGATGATCCCTACAACTAACTAACTGGAAGACCTTGGCGAACGTCTGGGCCGAGCAATTGTCACAGAGAATAGTGTACCTCGGCGTAGTACAACTTGCTAATGAGCCTTCGATTATGCCGTCGTCGTTTACACTTTGTTCAATAGTAGTGATGTTCTTGTCGGTGAATTCCCTGGACTTCCCTAGCACTTGAGCCGCTTTCTTCACTATACTTAAGACAGCATCTCTGGCGCTACCAAATAAATTTCTTGGAGGTTCGCCGACGTCGACATCTAAGGGTTCTTCCTCGTCGCTATCCTCTTCATCATCTACATCTGTGCTGGTTTCTCTAGAAATTTGGTTCTCCGTTTCCGTCTCCAAGACCTCGAACTCGCTGGTGCCATAAGCCCGAAATAAAGAGACCGGACAAAAGTGTTCTGACCCATGGTATGTATGGAGTTCCACTTTGATGAATTTTCCAAAAAGGTGTGGCCTCAAGATGAAGCTTTGAATGTCCTTCACATCCTTCGCAGTGAACTGGCCGACTAAACTCCAGTCTCTCGTGGGGAAACGGTCACTGATGTACACCGAGAAATCCTTAGGAGTAGAGCTGAACAGCTCAAAATTGGCCAACTCGATTTTTTTGGCCTGAATCGCCTCGCAAAGTTCTACTACAAACCATATGCGAGATGTGCAAGTGTTTAACATGTATTCGTCCCTGGTAGATACAAGGACGCTTCTGGCACTTCTGGCTTCTGGATTGGTTGCCACAACTTTGGCTCCGCAATCGGGAGAAGCGTAGTTCTTGGAACGAACCTTCATTCCACCCACCCTTTGCGCCGGCATTCCGGAATTTTGAACCGATGCGTTCGAATGAGCTTGAGAAGAAAAATTCACATTAGATTTAATTTATACAATTTTAAGTTTCATATAAATGTGCACACTTACTTTTCTTCTTTTCAGCCTCTTCCAATCTTTTTTGCGTCCATTCATTAAAAGATGGAATATCTTCATGTGGATCAGGAGATGCTACAGGCACAATTTCTTCACCAATAACAATGGTGGGTGCTTCATCTCTTGTATGTCCCATTAACCGAGCTTTAGCATCAGAGTCGCTGAGCTCAGGAGATCTTGTAACTATTTTATCTACTTTTGGAACTTCATCAGGAAGTATTTTACCTTCACTTTCAAGAATCTCTGTCTCATCGATAATAATAGGTCCTTGTTCAGCCCTCACTACTACTACTCCTTCAGACATTCCTTCATCATTTGATAATAATTCTTCTTCAAGAATGTTTGATTCGTTCAACCTTTCATTTTCTTCTATAACAGTCGATGGAATCTGTGTAGTTGATATTTCTATACCTTCCTTTTTTGTTTCTTGTCCAATCTTGGTAGTTTTTGTTAATAAAGATGCATTTTTTCCAAATATTCTTCCTCTAGAGAACTCTGCTGTAAACTTTGGTTCTACTAAACTTTGTAACTCTGCTGCTGCTGTATCCACCAGTGTCAATACCGCAGCTTGTTCAGTTCCAGAAATTCTGTCGGAAAGAGAAATATAATTTTTAATGTTCATACTGTTTTATTTTCATTCTACTGTTTATATAGAGCAATGGATATTACAGTTATTTAACTGTAAATCATGTGTGAATGTAAATGTCAATGGAGATATTATGTAATTCGAGGTAATGAGATTTTCGTATCAGTGTTGGTGTATAATAGAAACTTACCCATGCGATAGATTGGGTTGTTGGGGAAGACTCTCAGCCACAATGTCTACATTTTTGTAAGGATTCTCTTTTCTTTTTGTTTCACTGTTTGTTATAGTTTCCAAGTTGAGAGATGTTTCAGGATAGTTTTCCTAAAAGCAATTGTGCATTACTAACATCACTTTAATGCAATTAATAACACATCTTTCCGTTTTGAATACTTACTTGATAATACTCTTTGTAATTGGATTCCAGTTTTCTAGGGTTTTTCAGTTTAACAACAGGAATATTGGATGACTCCAAAGTATCATTTTCTATGCTGTCCAATGTATCATTATCATAAATTTCAGATGATTCATTCTTTTTTACAGATGAAAAATAATTGTTTTCTGCATTTTCTGAAGCTACTATGACGAAGAGGAGGGCACTATTAAAAGAATTAAATAAATATTTTATTTACTAAACTACACAAGAGATACAATTTTAACTTATAATAATTATAAATATTTGTTAAAATATTCATATATTGTTGAAGATACAAACATTTTTGTTATAATATCCATTGGTGAGTTCAAATAATAAAGGGTTTCATACAGAAATTAGCTTAGAACACAGTTCGTAAAATGTATAAAAATGATGCAATACAAGGGGTTAAAGAGTTTGTTCTCAAACATGAAGGTTCTGTAACAGAAATGTATTCAAACATAAAGACAACTGCATACACGGTACAACTAGAAACCATGTTCTAATGGAAATGGGAAACGTTTTGTCGTTATCATGCTTGTGTTACAAAACGTAGACCATCAAAACCACTGATAAGTTTTAACGTTGCTAATGTTAGAGATAATAAAAGAAAGGACAAGTTTAATGGTCACACTATACTTTTCCTATTTAGGTTTCAGCAAAACAAACTGGTTTAGCAATGTACCAATACAGCTTTTAGCAGCCCTAAGTAGCTCTTGTATGTGTGAATAGTTAACACTAAACGTACTGAGTACTGAAAATGACTGGTATGCCTCATCTCGTAAAAGTTATAAAATCGCATTTATTTAAACAACGCGATTTTTAATATATTATATGCTTGAACAAAGAAATTTAGTTAATCATTTTCCACGAAAGTATCTTTGTAGTTTGTATAATTCTAAAATAGAGAATTGGAAACCGGTCATTCGACTGGCAGTAATACGTTTAGTGTTAATAGAATAGTAACTAAAAGCACTTGCCTGGAGGCGACCGATATGAAGAGCAATGTCCAGTACACACAAGTTACGTGAATCTTCATTTTTTCGCGGGTCTCACATCACAAATCACGTAGAAAATGCTGTTGTCAGCAGACAGACACTTTTATTAAACGTTGGATAATGTCATTGCTCCATCACCATATCATTGTGGTTGCCGCCATCACTACCGCTTTTATCACTGTAACTACCTCCATCTCCATACCGATTCTGCCATCACTGTCGCCACCAGTCACTGCTGCTCAAAAACTGACGTGTAATTGAACCGTTGGCGTTGACAAGATTAATTCGTTAACGAGCTTGTCAGCAGCTTCCTTTATCATAATGCGAGGCCAATTTTTCTAAGGAATAATTACGATCAACCACGGGAGTGTACATTTTCCTCAGAACACGCATTGTGGGCTATAACGTTATAACAAAAACAGCTGATTCGACTGACGCATGCGCCCGGCGCGCCTGAAAATAATGTATGTAATGATTTTTCAGAATTTGACTGTAATATTTGAGGTATAGTGAGTATCACATATTGGTTTATTACATTATTTCTATAATAATTCATTTCAAGCTTTTATTTGAAGTCTCCATTTTTCGGAATTTTTTTGGTGGTTTTATTTTTTTAAAAGTAAGATTATTAATAACAGCAACTGGAAAAAATCTGTAACGTGTGTTTTTGAGAGCTAAGATATGCTTGAATTTTTTAAGAATGTTTATTGTATATTTACTTAAATAGGTAGTTTACTTTATTGAGATATTTTTGGAAAACATTTTATGGGTAATCACATGAATTAATTGTACATTAACTTTATAAAAATCTACTACTATATTACAGATCATATTTATTTAAACAATTCTCAGGTTAGTAGATGATACAAGTAAAAAATAAAGAATGTAAAATGTTGGCTACGCTGATCCAAACAAAATGACAATGTATCAGATTGTATGCAAGAAGCAATGAAAGGTAAGTAGTCTAATAAGGAAAAAACGTTAATGATAATGTACTTAAAATGATATTATAAATACAACTACTATAAGTTAACATTAAATGAATGAAACAAGAACAATTGTTACTTACGGGGCATGTTTATTCTATACCCTGTTAAATAGAACACACCTGCACCGCATCTCACTGTATGGATTATGATTATACTAAGTAATAAGAGATCATCTAAGTCTAAGGAATGTTAAGACTGGAAGATGATGTAACAGAGTCTTGAACAAAAGAAGGAATGCTAGAATCTTCATACATTTTCATTTTAATGCCTATATTTTTCTATTTTAATCTTTTATTTTATTCTTTTTAGATAAGTAAACTGAGACTAGATTCAGTTAGTAGACTCAGTTCAGCATAAATAAAAAATGGCTTCAAGTTATGCAATTTATATGAGTGCATTTATTCACTAATTAATATTTTATTTAATTTATGATATTCTTGTTGGGAACACTGGAATAATGGAGGGTTGACTAGATACTTTTAAATAAATGTACGTTTGGTGACTATTTATCGGTTTAAAGATTTCCATACAAGGATTGCTAATTTTCTCTACAAAATCTTTTTTTATTTTTCCATTTACTGTAAAATAAGAGATTCTACTTAATTAGAGCCTGATCTGTTGTAATTCGGGGACAGTATTTCATCAGAACGGAACTTCGAATTAACATTCTGAAAAAGCGTATTTCACCTCCGCGTCTCGGAGACGGGAACAGAAGGGAATTCGTAGGATGAATTCCCGTCACGATGAAGACAGACTACGGGGATAATTTTTAGATCATAATTCCATTCGAGTTCGGATGATCCGCGACGGGTACGGAACCGCAATTACGGGGGTTGCAAAGGTGATGATGTTCGGGGAGCGAGGACGGAATTCCCGACCGGTCCTATATCGTTTTCGCGAAGGAAATTTAATTAGTCGAAGACCTGGTTACCACAGCCTGCGCGCATTCGAACGTGTCGTTCAGAACGAAGCGATGGGGCTCAAGGCATGATTGTCTTGTGCAAGATAAATGACGTTGCTATGCTACGAAATGTTCAACGAACAGGAAAAAGAACGCTGTTCAGTAGTAAGAAAATCCATGGAAAAATTCCAAATCGATGTTAGAATTTTGGAAAAGTCAAAGGTGTCCCTGGAGCACCTTGTGTGACCATTTCTTTTTACTACAATTTTTTTTCTATTAATTTATAAGTGAATCTTTGAATCTGTGAATCTTTATGCAAAATGGAATTTGTCTATATCAGCTGCAGGTAATTGAAGCCAAATAGAAATTTGCTTCTTTTTCTAATAACGTAAAGAATGGAAAATAATGTGTTGACATTCTTAAATTTTGTTAATAGTGTTTTTTACATTTTATCTACTCATTTTTACCCTAAATATTTATAATCTTCTTAATCATTACAAGATCGACCTTTGTAATTAAAAACGAGCATTTATAGTTCAGGATAATTTAATTATTGACTTAAATCGTTGTTACGCAGAGAATTTTGACTAATTTTCTTCTCGATTCACATCGACCCCGATACCGGCACACGCTTAAGTGAATCTTTTGTTCCCGTGTTGCGTCCAGAAGGGCGTTGACGAGCAAATTGCGGCTCATGTTGTGAGCTTTCATGGGGTTGGAACTTATAGACTCATCGACGGAATGACATCTGACATGTAATTTCCTACAAACTCAGCGTGCTTACTTGTTTCGATCATGTACGGACAGATATTTGGCAATGGTTTACGAGATATGGATAAATTAACATGTAATCCCATCTGATTATTAACATACGTTTACGTTACTATATGTAATGCCCATTTAATCTCGCTAAATTCCCTGCAATGAAATGGAACTTACACTTTATATCTTAAAAACGGAAATTGTGTTCAAAATCATTATAAAACAGAATCCATTTTTTATATTGTAGCAATACGATGTACGTATTTAAAAATAGTTTACATTGCTATTAGATGGAATCTTTTAAAAATTGAGGGTTCGATGTAAATTTTGTGTACTATAAATTACACAATAGTATCTATTCTTTAAATTATATAAATACAATGCATAATTATGTATTTGTATCGTAATAAATTCTGTAAAACAAATTCTAAAACCGACTGCTTTTCGTATTATAAAAATATAATTTATTTAAAGAATTGTTTATATCATCATCAAAATTTCGGGATCTGTCTGTAATTAATCATGAAGCAGAATCGGCATTATGCAAATATAAATTATACTGTATAAAGTGATAAACAGTTGTATTATTATACAAACGCATTTTGCGTTTACTGTAATGTTGCCGATATTTGGAACGAATTTAATAATTAACAGCAACGACGATCTCCTGTCACAATTCCTGAAAACGATTGCGCGAACGTTCAATATAATATTAGTGATTGACGAATTTACTATGAATAATCGGAACTAATTAATGTGACCGATCGACCGCACTCCCTCCGCGTTTGTATATGCTAATTAGCACGGCCAATAATTGCTCCTCGCCAAATTTCGGCTGTTTCCTTCGGTGAAAGTCCCGCCGTTTTTTCTTCATTCTCCCTTCATTCTTTCGGCTTTCGCTCTCTTTGTTTGCAGGCCTCTGTTCTAGCAATTGACTTTTCTGGCAACGGTACAAGTGGCCCGCTGCTGGAGAACTGACTACGTTACTAAATGAGTGGCGATCTACAGTGGCGTAAAGATATTCGCCACTGAATAAGAAATTATAATTACGGGGAAACTACAATAATATATATAATAATACAATTATATATATAATATTATTATATATATTATTATTAAATTATTATATTATATTATATATAATAATATTATTATATATAATATCTGTCTCTTATACACATCTAGATGTGTATAAGAGACAGTATATATAATAATATTATTATATATACTGTCTCTTATACACATCTAGATGTGTATAAGAGACAGTATATATAATAATATTATTATATATACTGTCTCTTATACACATCTAGATGTGTATAAGAGACAGTATATATAATAATATTATTATATATACTGTCTCTTATACACATCTAGATGTGTATAAGAGACAGTATATATAATAATATTATTATATATACTGTCTCTTATACACATCTAGATGTGTATAAGAGACAGTATATATAATAATATTATTATATATACTGTCTCTTATACACATCTAGATGTGTATAAGAGACAGTATATATAATAATATTATTATATATACTGTCTCTTATACACATCTAGATGTGTATAAGAGACAGTATATATAATAATATTATTATATATACTGTCTCTTATACACATCTAGATGTGTATAAGAGACAGTATATATAATAATATTATTATATATACTGTCTCTTATACACATCTAGATGTGTATAAGAGACAGTATATATAATAATATTATTATATATACTGTCTCTTATACACATCTAGATGTGTATAAGAGACAGTATATATAATAATATTATTATATATACTGTCTCTTATACACATCTAGATGTGTATAAGAGACAGTATATATAATAATATTATTATATATACTGTCTCTTATACACATCTAGATGTGTATAAGAGACAGTATATATAATAATATTATTATATATACTGTCTCTTATACACATCTAGATGTGTATAAGAGACAGTATATATAATAATATTATTATATATACTGTCTCTTATACACATCTAGATGTGTATAAGAGACAGTATATATAATAATATTATTATATATACTGTCTCTTATACACATCTAGATGTGTATAAGAGACAGTATATATAATAATATTATTATATATACTGTCTCTTATACACATCTAGATGTGTATAAGAGACAGATATTATATATAATAATATTATTATATATAATATAATATAATAATTAATATAAATATATAATATAATAATTTAATAATAATATATATAATAATATAATAATATACAATAACTACAATACAGTTCTTCTTCGTTAATTTCGAAAATACACAAAATTGTTGTGCAAAAATGACTAGACAATCAGCGCACAGAAACCGACTGTTTCAAATTAGATCGGCCCTTTTTACAGTTTTATTAATTCTCAATTTCTCTCCTGGCAATGTTGTAACTGCGATTACAGTTTATATGGAAATTGGCGGAGAGGCTTTCTTTCGAAAAATTTCACTCGCGTCAACGGTAAATCAACGAATATTGTACAACGTTGGTTATCGTGGGTGACTCTAATTAGCGTATTTAATTGGATTTCAACTAGTGCGATGGCTACGCCACTGTCCGACCGTTTCCACCGATTATATTCTGAAGGAGGGTCCTTCCATTTTTCCCCCGTCTCCTCTCGGTCCCTTCCCCCTCCCCCAACTTATAAGGATCCATTAATTATTATTCTTGTGCGGTACGAAAGATTTATTGTTTCTCGCGGCGCTCGAGATTCGACCTCTTCATCGAGGCACTTGCGACCAGGTCGAATTCGCCCCCCCCCCCCACCTCACCCCGCGGTGTATTGTTTGCCGACGATAATTACCTACACTTTACTGTCTTTAACAGTAATTACGAGCAATTTCCCGGCGTTTTGGAACGCGGCGTAATTGACAGACATCACTCCATTGCGATGAAATTAATCGTACTAATAAATTACAACAGTCCGTTGCTTGGAATACAATCTAGCGAGTCTGGATGAATAATTCTGGACGTTCCTATTGGTGGATCGTAAACGGGAATAGTATTAATTAACTGACGATATTATTGGCGATGCGCGAATCGATAGTAATTATTCTATCGGGTATAGAGTGCATCTTGGAAACGCGGCTCATAGTACTGCTAATTATTCCACGAATTTATCTTTTAATTGCTAATTGCGGTCGCACAAGTAAGGATATATTTTATTTAACATCGGGGAATGTAACTCGATACGTGGAAGGAGTATGGAGTATTCGACGAAGGAGTATGGACGATTCGATTTGGTGATACAGTCTGATGGTTTTTTTTTTTGTTTTGTTTTTTAATAGAACGATATCGCGAAACAATGTTATTTCTTCTTAGAAGAGATAATAATAATAATCTATCGGTTCGACACATATTTCAATCTATGGAAGCTCTCTGCTTGAACGTTAATCCCTGCGTGCTATTTAGACAACGATTACGCTGTCGTAATATGCTTGGTAACTACAACGTTGCTGTCGAATTAGGTCCTCATCTGGCTTTTGTTCTGCTTTGACATACTTTTTGCTGGTTACGACAAGGCAGTATTATATAAAAGTCTAATACAATTATATATATAAAACAATTATATATAAACAATTATATATATAAAAGTCTAATACAATTATAACAGCATTACAATATATATATATTATTTATTATTTATATATATAATTGTATTAGACTT